GGCACTTTACTCCAATTGGCTCATTCGCTTGCTTAAACTCAACGTCGATTCAGTTTCCGCAGAACTGGGTTGGGTGTGAAAAACTATTTGTTGTTAACATTCTTTTTTCATTCGGTTTTTCCAGTTACGAGTCCTTTTTTAAAGCTGATCGTTTTGTGTTCATTTTGTTTAGTTCTTTTTTCGTAACAGATTTAATGTTTAGTATAGAGCTTAGGAAAAATTCGCATCAGTACGGCAAAGGGCATTCCTTTAAAGGCAAGGAACGGCAAACATATTTTGATTCAAGTGATAGCGATTGCTGTGTGCGTCGTACGATTTTTGAATCAAGCACGGGCAACGCCGGGCCATGCTGGTAGTGAATTATATAAGATAGTACGTGAAGTCAGCTACTTACTGGAGCAGTACATGGAGCCGACTATTTTACCTGTATCTTTAAAAATGGCTCGTATGTACGAGTTATAACAAATTAGATTTAATTTCTATTTACACTTCCGCCAAAAAATAAAAGATTTTTCTTCTTTTTTTTTTTTTATCTCAGAACGGTTAGAATATGCAGCCCATAATAGCTACACGAAGAAGCGAAATACTTTGAAATAACGTTTAAATTTCTGCACTGCCCGCTTCATTTTCAACGTCAACGCGACAAAAAGAGCATACAAAGCTGACATCTCCAAAAACGCAGCCACCACCAGCAGCGACATAAGTACTTCAGAAAAAAAAAAAAAAAAAACGCAAGATTCATCAAACTTACATTCCAACACTCTATTAAGAAAACTTGAAAATTATCTAGTTATCCCCAAGAATTGGATCTTTGCCACTATCTCTAAGATAATCAGTGATAGTCAGGAAGAAAATTAAATCCAACACTACATGAGATGCCGGGATTTATGAGATAAAACGCCTACAAAGTAAGAAGAGTTACATTGGGGAAACATCTAGGAATCTGAAAAAACCGCAACTACGAATGTTAGGCAGACCTATGTGGGGACAAGTGTTTAAACTCGCTTGTAATACACAGAAAATAAAACAGGCTACAACTTCGATTTTATAAATGCCACCCTAATTAGAAAATATCATGATTCTTTAAGCAGAAAATAATTCGAGGGAGTTCTGTCTATATTTCTGAGATGAGGTATTATGTATATTATTTACATTATTCGGACTATTGTCCTAATCTTTGTCACCATATTTATTACAACGTTTCGGCCTTTCAGTATCTGTCTATATTTCTGAGATGAGGCATTATGTATATTATTTACATTATTCGGACTATTGTCCTCATCTTTGTCACCATATTTATTACAACGTTTCGGCCCTTCAGTATCTGTCTATATTTCTGAGATGAGGTATTATGTAGACTATTGACATTATTCGGACTATTGTCCTCATCTTTGTCGCCATATTTATTACAACGTTTCGGCCTTTCAGCATCTGTCTATATTTCTGAGATGAGGTATTATGTACACTATTTACATTATTTGGACTATTGTCCTCATCTTTGTCACCATATTTATTACAACGTTTCGGCCCTTCAGTATCTGTCTATATTTCTGAGATGAGGTATTATGTACACTATTTACATTATTCGGACTATTGTCCTCATTTTTGTCGCCATATTTATTACAACGTTTCGGTTGTTTTACTCTCCGGCCTTCTTCAGGTGGTGAGAATGTTGAAGTGAACCCTTTATTTGCTCACTAGGGTAGACTGTTCTAGTTCCACGTACCAAGGACACATGGCACAGTGGATAAAGGCGTTAGTTAGATCCAGTGACAGGACCCAAAGAGAGTGAGTTCAATACCCGGTTAAGGCAGTGGAGAATTTTCAGAGGGAAATTAACAGGAGATAACTGATAACTGACATCCATTAAACATGGCACGTGAAACTAGAACAGTCTACCACAGTGAGCGAAATAAATTGTTCAGTTCAACATTCCAACCACCTAAAGAAGGCCGGAACAAACAACGGCCGAAACGTTGTAATAAATATGGCGACAAAGATGAGGACAATAGTCCGAATAAGGTAAATAATTTTCGAGGGAGTTCTACTAAATATTTTATATCTATAAACACGTTCATTATTGGGCCTTTGGTTAGCATTTGCTAGAAAATCCGGACATCTGATGCGTGCTTTTAGCGTTTTCATTCAGCAGCCGACAAGAATGACGCAGAATTGAGTTGAAATTTATTTTCTAAAGGAATTCGCACACTGAGGGATTAAACAGAGAATTAGGTTTACTCAGAGAATATAATTTCCACAGGGAGACCTCCAATCAACCACAACATGCTTCGGAAGAGTAAATCCCAGTTCTTTGTTTATTCCACGTATCGTCGAAAAAGAACACTGACAAATTCGAAAAGTCCGACATTAAGATATTTCTCTTCGAGGTTCATTTCAGTGACTAGATTAATATATAATAAATATCAATTTTCTTTCCAATATTGCTAACATTTTTTTAACTTTACATTGTTGAAATTGTATTAACCACCATATTAAATACACACACACACACACACACACATATATATATATATATATATATATATATATATATATATATATATATATAAGTGAATATTGAAGTCAACATTCAGAGGTGACAGGCTGTTTTATGCTAGACGCAATCGTCAAGCTGCGTCTAACATGAAACAGTCTGTCGCCCCTGAGTGTTGACTTCAATGTTTAATTTCATCTTTACATACGGTCTATCTCTGATATTGAGCATTTTATCCTACAAATATAGCACAACTTTAAACTATATTTCTTCATGCGTTTAAACTCCTGTCAGTCGTCTTTAAAATAATATAAACCTTTATTCATATATATATATTTTTTTTTTTTAAGCATTGTGCCCCAAGCAAGGCGTGAAGCCACTAGGGTGCAGGGGGTTGCGAAAGATTTGGAGCGAGAGCAGATAGGAGTGATAGAAGAAAGGATGAGGAGAAGGATAGTGGGTAGATCAAGTTAACTGGAGATGTCGATTGACATTACATTTGAATAGTCGGAGATTATAGCTTTCAGGGAAACAGTAATTGGGGAGGGTGTTCCACTGGCGAGAGGTGCGAGGTATGAAGCTATTGGAGGAGAAGAGACGGCTACATTTGAAGGTTTCATGGTGTAAGGTGAGAGTGGGATGCCAGCCTCGTAGGGCGCTTGAATTCATGGAGTCTGGGAACTAGCGAAAAGCAGCTCATCAGAGCAGTTACCATGGAAGTATTTGTAGAAAAGACAGAGAGAGGCGACGGCGCGTCTTTGAGAGAGTGACTGCAGACAAGACGCTAGATCAGGGCCAATTAGATTAAATATCCGTCTCTGGATCTCAAGAACTCTGAGGTAAGCAGAAGGTGCCCAGCCCATATATGGCAGCAATATCTATATATATATATATATATATATATATATATATATATATATATATATATATATATATATATATATATATATATATATATAAACGACTCCCCGACAACAGCACATGAGATTTGATTATAGTGGTGAAGGTTTCGTGTAAGACCAGCCATACTTTTGAAGGGCGGAATTAGAGACCTGGTGCATATATATATATATATATATATATATATATATATATATATATATATATATATATATATATATATAAATATAAAAAAGGCTCAAACACTGATATTCCAGGGTTATAATTTATTGTAATCACGATCCAATTCATCAGACCTACAAATTAAAAAAGAAATCGGAAAATATAACTCCGGGTATTAAAAACAAAATTTTAGTCAGAGTGTGGGGGAAAACACGGGGGGGGGAAATGTGTAAGCTCTAGAGAGAGGGTGTAACAGAACAAAGAAGAAATAGGAAGGCCTAAATTATAATTTAACAGAGAAAAGTTTTATATATATATATATATATATATATATATATATATATATATATATATATATATATATATATATATATGAATAAAGTCCTGAGGAAAATTTATCATAGCTGACGCGTTTTGCCACCTTCGGGATTTTATCAATTAAAGCGCGAGAATTTTATTTTTTCAACAAGTGTCTATATTCCAGAGCAAAAATATTATTGTTTTGGCAAAATTTTTAACAACGCTTATAAATATTCATTTGGTTAGCCGAAAAATCTTGGCAAGCTATGGAGGACGCCCAGCGATACAATTCAATATCGTTTTGACTTTATTCATATTGTCCTTCCATAGATATATTCTATTTGACATTTTACGCATAAACACACACACACGCGCGCATACACACACACCGTTTCTAGTTTCGATTCTTAAAAAATATCCTATTTTAAAAACATATTGTCGACACGGAAAACACATTAATAAACTTAAAAACAGATAAATCTTTTGCTTTCAACTTATTCTGAAAGATTTGGCAATTAATTGCCTTGGATTCGTTTCAGAAAAGGTTATATGAATTTTTTGCTTTCAAGCCATCCTGAAAAATAAGATGAGGACTTACCCTTTAAATAGAAAAGAAAAATGACGGCAAAATATATTAACATCTTTCGGCATGAACTAACGATTATGAAGGAAAGATACAGAATAAATATTAACGATTTTTAAAAAAAAAAGTCACACATGTCCTTTCTTTAATCAAGAGAAATGCCAGCTTATTGAGAAAGTACGAATGATTCATTATTTAAACCTGCACACAAATATACAAACACACATTTCTTCCTTTCGTTTTTGGATCTGATGAGACCTAGGAAGGCGAAACGCGTAATCAAATCTAGTTTCAATGAAACGTTTTCCATTTGCCAAATACATACACTCGAGATCAAAAGCTTGAAGCCAACCCCAGAATTAACATTGGATGAATTTGACAGAAGTGTGATAGAAAACAAAGATAAAAAAAGAGCTCTCAGACAGTCATTGAAAAAGAATGGAATTAATTATCAAAATTGTACTTTGAGAATGTTTTGCAAGGAATATCAAAAAGTTGTTAAAATTTCTAATAAAAAAATTATGTGCCAGTGATTTTTGACCACGTATAATAATTTCCTCTTATTTTAAGTACAAAACAACTACATTTACGCTTAATTTAAAAATGACCAGAAGTGTCCACAAAATTTTGAACTGTTGTCTCTCTCTCTCTCTCTCTCTCTCTCTCTATATATATATATATATATATATATATATATATATATATATATACACTACAGTTCAAAAGTTTGAAGCCACACCCAGAATTAGCATGGGATAAACTTGACAGAAGAGTGAAAAAAAGAAAACGACCTCTTAGAGTCATTAAAAAAGAATAAAATAAATTATCACACTTAAAATTTGAGAAACGTTTTCAACGAATGCCAAAAGTTTGCAGTAATCAAAACTAAAGGAGGATATTTGGACGAGAGCAAAATTCAATGAGAAAATGCATTTTTTTTTCTTTTTGACATAATAAAATTTGTAATAAAAATATCATGGCTCACTTTTTTTTTTAATCATTGATAAAAATTCTAAAATATTTAAAATACAAAACAAAAAAAAAAACTACTTTTGGGGCCAATTATAAAAATTACCAGATATAGCCAAACACTTTTGAACTATAATGTCTGTGTATATATATATATATATATTCGATACACTCAAATATATATATATATATATATATATATATATATATATATATATATATATATATATATATATATTATCTCTATCGATATGTTATTACATATATTTCTATTGCTGTTTTAGTTATTATTATTATTATTATTATTATTATCATTATTATTATCATCATCATCATTCGATTTCTGTTATGGACACACTACCTACCAAGTTCTGCGGAAAGACCTAAGGCAGGTCGTGGTGTTTGTTATGGCCACATTTCATGTTAATTTTTTTTTTTTTTTTTTTATCTCCGATGAAGTTGCTAGCGTTACATAGACAAAGTTCTCCTTAGTGTGTGTGCTGTACTTAATAAGACAATTTTCTGTATGTCTTTAAGCTGGGGTTTCCAGGATTCTTTCAATGTGTTGTTTTGTTCCATTTTTTATAATTCCAAGTGTACCTATTACCACTGGTATTATTCTTGTTTTCAATTTCCACATTTATTATTATTATTATTATTATTATTATTATTATTATTATTATTATTCTATACTTCATCCGACACACAAACATCTTAAATTCTTTTGAAATATTTATCTGTTCTTTTCGTTTTTTTTCTTTACATCCCTTTAAGGCTTTCTTTTAGTGTCGTGGTTATTTCCGTCATTTTGCGAGTGGAAAGCGGTGAATGATATCAAACCTGGACAATTTCAGCCATGCTTACGTCAGAGGGTGAACAGACTAATATATGCAGGGACGAGGAGAACGCTCTCACGTTACGATGTGCGCAGCGACGCGCATTCATACGGAAGCTCTTCGTGACATGTTACGACTGAAAGCCATTCAAGCTGACGAAATCGCAGACAATTCGAAAAGAAGGAGTTTTTCGTTATTATAGAGAATCATATACACACTCCAAAACGGTTTCTCCGCAAACTACATACAATTTAAAAGATTCTATAACATGTTTTATATATATATATATATATATATATATATATATATATATATATATATATATATATTACTACATATCTATCTATCTATCTATCTATCTATCTATCAAATTATTTTATTATCTATCTATCTTTCAAATTATGTTTAATATCTATGTATCTATCTATCAAATTCAGTTCAATATCTTTCTATCAAAAGATCGATCAATCTATCTATTTATGTATATATGTCATTTGTTTTCCTATCTATCTATCTATCTATCTATCTATCTATCTATCTATCAAATTATGTTTAATATCTATCTATGTATCTATCAATCTATCGATCTATCTATCAAATTATGTTTAATATCTATCTATCTATCTATCTATCTATCTATCTATCTATCAAATTATGTTTAATATCTATCTATCTATCTATCTATCTATCTATCTATCTATCTATCTATCTATCTATCTCTCAAATTATGTTTAATATCCACGTATCTAACTATCTATCTATCAAATTCAGTTCAATATCTTTCTATCAAAAGATCGGTAAATCTGTCTATTTATATATGTATGTCATTTTGTTTTCCTATCTATCTATCTATCTATCTATCTATCTATCTATCTATCTATTCTGTACATATATATATATATATATATATATATATATATATGGCATTTTGTTTCTATCTCATCTTTCCTGCAGTATTCTATTCTAATTATTTTTTATAAATCTCGTTTTCCTAAGAAATTCATTTTATTTGGGTAATTATTAAAAAAATCTTTAAAATATATATATATATATATATATATATATATATATATATATATATATATATATATATATTTGTATGTATGTATATATGTATGCATGTTGTATCTATGTACGTGTGTGTCATTTTATTTCTGTCTATTTTTTCCAGTTCAATTTACTGTCTTAAATCTCTTTTTCAAATTAAATCTTTTTTCCCATTCTTACGCGCTTCACCTTCCTTCTTATTTAGCTAATGTCTTAAATAATTTATTTCAGTCTGTTCGTATCTATCTATCTATCTATCTATCTATCTATCTATCTATCTATCTATCTATCTATCTATCTATCTCTAAATATATATTTATATATTTATATATATCATTTTATATTCATCTATCTATCCAATTTGCTCAAACCAATCATACATTTCACGTCTAACATTTATAATAATCTAATTGCATATGATCACACACACATATATATAAATATATATAAATACATATATATATATATATATTTTTTATATATATATATATATATATATATATATATATATATATATATATATATAATACTTTCTATATCGTTCTTTTCAAACATACGCAAAATTATATAGAATATGTATACACAACCATATATCTATCTATTAATTTATATATATATATATGTGTGTGTGTGTATTTATAAATATATAGATGTATATTTACATATATATATATATGTATGTGTGTGTATTATATATATATATATATGTGTGTGTGTACGTGTCTCTGTGTGTGCGCGCGCGCAAGCATCATATTATTTCATGATGAAAATTTCGGAAATGTTCGCTCAATAATTATTTGAATATGAAAATGAAAAATAAAATATAAACGGCGCCACAAAATGATTGTCACACGTATTAAAAATACGTCACGTAATTGATTAACTCTATATATGGCATTCGATAAATACCTATCTCTCTAAATGTATATCTTTTTCCTAATCTATGTTAATCGATTCAGATCTACGAAAAGCAACACATATCCGTGTTTATATATATATATATATATATATATATATTGGTTTCACTGCTATCGATCAATCTTTCTGCTTTCTGCTCCTATATCTGCATGTCTATGCGTATGTATGCAATTATCTGTCTCACTATGTAAACATCTATCTATCTATCTATCTATCTATCTATCTATCTATCTATCTATCTATCTATCCCAGTCTTTTCATTATCTATCTATCTATCTATCTATCTATCTATCTGTATGTCTGTCATTTTTATTTGGATGAATATATATATACACACACACACACACACATATATACATATATATATATATATATATATATATATATATATATATAAAAACAGTATATATCTATCATTTGATTCATATGTATCTTCCTTCTCTACTTGAAAAAAATCAAATATCTATGAAAATAATATATATATATATATATATATATATATATATATATATATATATATATATTGATGTATTATATTCTTTATAATCTACATCCTTCTATATCAGTTTAGATGCCATATTTTTGTTTTCCTAAACTAACATAAATATATTTCCTGACAATATAAATATATAATAGATTCATATTGTCATGCACTTTCACATATATACATACATACATACATATATATATATATATATATATATATATATATATATATATATATATATATTATGAAATGGACAATTATTTTAATGTAGTTTATTCTTATACGTTCTTCACAAATGCACAAATATTTAAGTAAATGCTCTGATTATAGTAAATAATATAGAACGTCCGAGAAATATTCATAGAAATTATGTGTCCTCTGGAATAATCATGCTTAAATATTTTTGTCTATATAAGTAACGTATAACAGCAATATCTATCCATCTATCTATCTATCTATCTATCTATCTATCTATCCATCCATCCATCTATCTCATTCATCAATAATCTATCCATCTATCTATCTATCCATCATTCATCCATCCATCTATCTATCTATTCATTAATAATCATCTATCTATCATCCATCTATCCATCTATCTATCTCATTCGGCTAATAATCTATCTATCTATCTATCTATCTATCTATCTATCTATCCATCCATCTATCTATCTATCTAATCTATCTCATCCATCCATCCATCTATCTATCTATCATCTATCTATCTATCTATCTATCCATCCATCTATCTATCTATCTATATATATATATATATATATATATATATATATATACTATATTTATACTTACATTAACTTCAATTTTATGTTTATCCTTATTATAATGTGCATCCTTCAATAGCAGCTTGCATATTTCTGTATTCGTAAACTCGAATATATTGCATAATAATATAAATATATACAATAAATTAAATTCATGTATATATATATATATATATATATATATATATATATTTCAGGGGAGAGAGATAAAGATAGAAAAATTCAATTTATTTTAATATTTTTGCATTTAATGGACTTTTAGTTGTTTCGATATATATATATATCTGTTTATTCATTATCTGTTTCTTCATCTATCTCTGTTTCATCTATCTCAGTCTGTTCATATCTATATATCTATCTATCTATATCAGTCTGTCCGTATCTATCTATCTATCTATCTATCTATCTATCTACTTACCTGCCTACATACGTACCCCTGTCTCTCCATATTTATGTAGCTTAGACTGTTTATATCTATCTATCTATCTATCTATCTATCTATCTATCTATCTATCTATCTATGTTTATATATATATATATATATATATATAGATAGATAGATAGATATTATTATTATTATTATTATTACTACCAACCACAGCTTTTAATTTCAACAATTTTTATGTGATCTATGACTTTCTATCCGTCTCTACATCTCTCTCTCAATGTCTCTCTCAATGTCTCTCTCTCTCTCTCTCTCTCTCTCTCTCTTTCTCTGTCTATCTATCTACCTATCTAATTTAATCTGTTCGGTATCTATCTAAATAATTATATTTTTCTATTATGCTATTGCTTACCAACCACTCAGTCAGTTATGTGCCGTGTGTGATACACGCTTAGGATATCATGTATCGAAAGATACATGACTGACGAAGCATAATTTTCCCGCATTAATTTGCCATTTCTTTCTGCGGTAGACCAGTTGCCATCCAAGGCTATAGAACCCGGCCTGACCTGCTATTTACCCATAGCTAGTGATCGGGGGAAGAAGAGGATTCATACCTTTCCCAAAGGTATTGGCACGTAAGTGAATGCAATGGATTTTGTCTGGAATTCAAACCACTCACAGCTATTTATTAACCTGATCGCAGTTCACTCGTTTCATTTTACTAGAAATACTCACTGAAAATACCATCATCACAACTTCCCCCGTCCTCTGACTAAAGACATATTTTACCTGAACAGCAGAGAGCCGGGATATGAATTTTCGAGATTTCACTGCTCTATACACACACACACACACACACACACACACACACACACACACACACAGAAAGAGAGAGAGAGAGAGAGAGAGAGAGAGTGAGAGAGTCTCAAACTATTCACACAGTGAGTCGTGGTTCAGGATCAGTCATATCGATGCTGGTGGTCATGGTTCAGCATCAGTCATATTAAGGCTAGTGGTCATGGGTAAGGATCAGTCATATCAAGGCCGGTGGTCATAGTTCAGGATTAGTTGTATCAAGGCCGGTGATCATGGTTCAGGGTCAGTCATATAAAGGCCAGTGGTCATAGTTCTGGATAAGTCATATCAAGGCTAGTGGTCATGGTTCAGGATCAGTCATATCAAGGCTGGTGGTCATGGTTTTGTTTAATATAGCAAAAATATGCGTTCGCCGACAGGATTCGAACCTGCGTTCTACTAGGGGAAGACACCATCCGATCTGGCGTGTTTTGAACGTCTCGGCTGCGGAGAGCATCGATGGTCAAGCATAGTTGAATAGTGCCTTTAAATACAGGTTTTTTTCTCACTCTCGAAATAGACATATCTGTTCAGTTTCATATGCTAATGTAAACAGGAATGTCTAAAAAAAAAAAGTGATTGCAACTTTGTTTATTATTCCGACAGATTTTATTACTTAAAAGTTATTTTTAGTGGATACACGTATTTGAGTAGACACCCCGTTTATTTATTAAACAGTATACTCGTTTATTTTCGTCTACCGGCCTGAGTGTTTGAGAAATCTTATTAGAAAAAAAAATGCGTTCTCCGACAGGATTCGTACCTGCCTTCCAAATTTCAATCACCTGAAATTGTCTTGACATACAACGGCCGAAACGTCGTGAATATGTCTGTAAAGATGAAGACAATAGTCCGAACAATATAAACAGTGTAAATAATTAAATACCTTATCTCAGAAATATAAACAGATCCTGAAGAAGTCCGGACTGTGCAACGACCGAAGCGTCATGAATATGGCAACAAAGATGAAGACAACAGTCCGAACAATATAAATAGTGCAAATAATGAAATACCTCATCTCAGAAATATAAACAGATCTTGAATAAGGACGGAGCGTACAACGACCGAAACGTCGTGAATATGGCAACAAAGATGAGGACAATAGTCCGAATAATGTAAATAGTGTACATAATACCTCATCTCAGAAATATAGACAGATACTGAAGAGCTGAAACGTTGTGATAAATATGGCGACAAAGATGAGGACAATAGTCCGAACAATGTGAATAGTGTAAATAATTACAATCATCTCAAATCTGAAATATTAAATTTTACATAAAAAATAATTGAATAAATCACATCTGTTTTTGATTTTTTTCACTAGAGTAAATCTTAATGTAATTCATTTTTCATAAAGTAAATCGAAATTCTTATTCTTTATATATGAATTTACTTTATTAAAAAAATGAAAATACTTAACGATTTATTTTATGAAATATTATTAAAAAACAGAAAACTGATTCATGTTTTGCACAGTGCCTTTTCAGATAACTTATTTGAAGAAAAAAATATTTATTATTTAAGGTTTTAATTTTTTATAAATTACTTTTATTCGCTTAAAAAAAGGTTTTCTGGTGCTGAGTTGTTTCAGTCCTGAATTGATCCGGCGCTCTGTTAACGGTTTTGAGTTGGTGATAAGTGAGCTGCCCTCCATCCCTTTATTTCGGGGGCAAACGCTGTCGTTGTTCGCCTATAAGGATTAGTTCTTTCCTCTAAAACGCTCCAAGTACATACATTGCTTATTACAAGTATCATATCTCGAGGACCTGTGTGCTTAAAACGTACGGGCCGGTCGTAAACGAAAAGCGTACTGGAACTGAATGCATGTTAATTATAACACAGCGGAGAGTGTACTTCACAAGCTGGACTTAAAGGCCACATTCGTGCTGTGCATTATTTAAAACTATGCAGAGGTATCATATATAGTAAAGATTTTGTCAGAAAAACGGCAAAGCAGCCACCATCTGTACGCATACAGTTTATGCCTCTTTAAATAGCATATACTTAGGCAGTAAGAATTTATTCAAACAGGTTTTATTGAAATCGACCTATAAGGTCTGTCTGCATAATTTTTATTACAGTTTCCTAAACTTTCTTGTAAGCTGTTGCAAATAGTTGCAAATGTAATATCTCTTTGCTGGACTATTTTCTACCTTCTCTTGTTCTTAATATTAATTAGTAACCTCCACTAATTTGCGATACCTTAGGTTGAAAATGAATTTAAAAAAAGAAAAAAAAGAAGTTTTCTTGCAGCTTTCATTTTAGTATTAATTGAAAGCTAAAAGATTAAATTTACTATTTCCAGTAAGCAAAATACTCTGGTGTATTTTTAACAGGAATTATATCGATTGGAATTGATTTTTTGTTGCTAAAATAGTTGATTAGCGCCCCTTTTTTAGTCCCCTTTCATCACAGCGTACGTAATTCGCTTTATTAAAAAAATCTTCCAAAAATAAAATATACTTTTCTGAAACTTTAGTTGAGGAATATTGGCTGATTTAAAGTATAATTAATCTGATTTGAAACAAATATTATTTACTTTAGGTTTAAAAAAAACACAGATATGCATTTTTAAACCAAAGAGTAGCTATGTTTTTATCCAACAGCATGTTTACGTGTTTGGCAAGGTAATGACAAGTTTATTGTTGTTCTTCGGAGAATTTATCTGTACAGCGTAATTTATGAAAATGGCGAGAGCGCCGTTTTTATATACACAGTAATCTTTAAAATGATTAAAAATGTTCTATGTCATCTAATTTCAGGAATGTTGATTTTAATTTACTATAATGGACAGCGTATCGGATTGAGGAATCGGAGAGCTAAGTTCGAATTTCAGTCGAATCTATTACATTCACTGATGTGCTAATATCCTTGGGAAAAGTATGAATCCTCTTCTTCTCCCCCAGCTATGCGTAAATAGCAGGACAGACCGGGTTTTAGAGCATTGGATGGCAACTGGTCTACTACAGAGAGAAATGGCAACCTACTGCGGGAAAAATATGCCTCGTCAGTCATGTATCGAAAGATACATGATCACCTAAGCATATAGTATGCATGGCACATAACTGACTGACTGACGTGCTAATACCCTTGAGAAAGGTATGAATCCTCTTCTTCTCCCCAGCTATGGGTAAATAGTAGGACAGACTGGGTTCTATAGCCTTGGATGGCAACTGTTCTAACGCAGAAAAAAATGACAACCTACTGCGGGAAAAGAATCTGCCTCGTCAGTCATGTATCGAAAGATACATGATCGTTTAAGAGTGTATCACGCATGGCACATAACTGACTGACTGATGTGCTAATAACCTCGGGAAAGGTATGAATCCTCCACTTCTCCTCCAAGCTATGGGTAAATAGCAGGACAGAAGGTTCTATAGCCTTGGATGGCAACTGGTCTATCGCAGAAAGAAATGGGAACCCCCTGCGAAAAAAAAATATCTGCCTCGTCAGTCATGTATCGAAAGATATCGCCTAAGTGTATATCACGCATGGCACATAACTGATTGTCCTCGCTCTTATTTTCTGATAATCTAGTGTATGGTCACCCATACTTTCAAAATGGGTCCATTTATACACACAAAAGAAATTCAAAATTGTTTTTAACAACTTGGTGTTGGAAGACAGTTATTATGCTTTTTTTTTTCTTGATTGCTAAATATAGTTTTCACCTAATAACAATATCACATAACGCGATCAAAGTAATTTCAGAATTTTAAAAGATTTAGAACTTTATGAATTATTTTAATTAAAACAAATTATAATGAAAATGAAAAAAATGTTAAACAATTCTAATAAAAACAATCATTATTCATGTAAGTTTTTTCTTAAGGCAATCGTGTCCTTAATATATTTTATTCATAAAAGTAATTAAATTTTTCCTAATTAAACAATGTCATAGTTTTATGCATTTTTCCCTTTTATTTTACTATTCGTAACAGGTTTTCGGTAAATGTGTAACTGTTTGAACAAAAATATTGATGATTTACATTCTCCTAGAAGTCCTGCTTTTTAACTAATAAAAGCATTTTGCGATCATAATTTGAATTCTCGAAATTTCATGTATTTAATTGTTAACAGATGTAATATATATATATATATATATATATATATATATATATATATATATATATGAAAATTTCTCTGATTTAACTAGTATTCATAAATATATATATATATATATATATATCCTTGTGTGTATGGGTAAGAGGGCGAGTGGCTAGAACGTTAGCTTTCTGACTGAGACGATTTGTCAGTAAGGAGTCTGATGTTAGCTGTC